GAAAGTACTATTATATACAAACTAAACTATATAAATAAAAGGGACATTGCTGAGAATTTATCACGCTCTATTTTTGGCGGCAAAAATTTAAATTTAAAACCTTAATTTTGTTCACATCTCTTACTTTTGATGCGCCTCTCGTGAACATTTTATACAATACACTAATACACACCTTTATAATATTATAATATATATTTCGATGAGTTTGTTTTACTATACGATATATTATTGTCTTAATATTTTGTTACTAGGAAACACATATTAATCCTTTTGTTGTAATTAGTTAAAATTTTCTTTGGGTGGAGGTCGTTCTCGTGATACTAAACAAATGACTGTGCAACAATATTTCCTTATATTATGAATGGTTAAACAAAATTATCAATAGTGCATAGCTGTTAGTGCTTATCTATCAGTGCTTATTTCTTAGTGATTAGTCTCAGTGGTTACCGTTCAGTGACTACAGGGGGGGGGGGGGAGGTCTACTACAAGGATGTCTACAAGCCGTTCTCTTCAATAGCTGCTCCTGACACTATGTAACCTTTTAGCCTAAACCAGAAGCGCACGAACCCAAGCAACCCGCCTAACCTATCGAGTCTAATGCGTAGAAAACGTAGATATTTGTGAGCGACTTAATAGGTTGCATTTGTAACGTTGCTTACCATAACGTAAAAAACGCGACGGTTTGGTTGAGAGGACAGGATGGTGTATGACCAGCTTGCTAGTCTACTTGTACCTGGTGTGTTATACCCTGCACAAGCGGTTCCCTCCACTCACACTGGTGGAGGGTCCACACCGGCTGTACACGACCCTCCACTCACACTGGTGGAGGGTCCACACCAGCTGTACACAACCCTCTACTCACACGGGTGGAGGGTCCACACCAGCTGTACACAACCCTCTACTCACACGGGTGGAGGGTCCACACCAGCTGTACACAACCCTCTACTCACACGGGTGGAGGGTCCACACCAGCTGTACACAACCCTCTACTCACACGGGTGGAGGGTCCACCAGCTGTACACAACCCTGTGGAGGGTCCACACCAGCTGTACACAACCCTCTACTCACACGGGTGGAGGGTCCACACCAGCTGTACACAACCCTCTACTCACACGGGTGGAGGGTCCACACCAGCTGTACACAACCCTCCACTCCACACCAGCTGTACACAACCCTCTACTCACACGGGTGGAGGGTCCACACCAGCTGTACACAACCCTCTACTCACACGGGTGGAGGGTCCACACCAGCTGTACACAACCCTCTACTCACACGGGTGGAGGGTCCACAGGAGCGCGGGACCAGCTCAGCGGGGTGGGGGGGTGCGTGCCCGCCAAACATAAATCATAGTATTTTCCCCTGACTTTGATGAATGAATTAGGTGAGGTTGTGGGGTGGCGGGTGAGGTCTGGCGGGAGTCCGCACCCGTCTAGGCGTCAACTTACGCTGCCTCTCACTGACGCCCGCACTCCGCGCCTGATATACTAACTTATTCTATGTTTCCCCATTTCTAAACTCTTCCCTTCACCTGTACCTCTAAATCTTTGTTTCCGCTCCCCCCCCCCTCCTTCATAAAACACGACCTTATCACTCACAGGAACTGTTCTCTCTCTCTCTCTCTCTCTCTCTCTCTCTCTCTCTCTCTCTCTCTCTCTCTCTCTCTCTCTCTCTCTCTCTCTCTCTCTCTCTCTCTCTCTCTCTTACCCTTTCTCTCCCTCTTGGTCTCGCTCAACACCCAGCACGCCCTTCTCCCTCCTTCCATCTCTCATCATCATCTTTCTCCAATTCATCATCATTCCCCCCCCCCGTCTTATCACCCCTCCAGCTCCCTCTACTGCTTCTATTAATAATGTTATTAATGTTATTAATGACTCTACAACTACTGGTACTATTTCTACAACTTATAATACTAGCTGCGGTAATATTTATACTGACCCCCCACCCTAAATCCAGGGCAAGGGGGACCCTGGGGTAGGTGCTCCCAAGGGAAGGGTGTTGAGGGGACATGTACTACTACGGGGAGAGGGAGGCTGGGGCAGGTGCTACCCAAATAATGGTCCAGGAGGCACTAAGGAGAGCAGCAAAACACCGTCCACCATATGACCAGACAGTCCAGGAGCTCACACAAGCAACACGGAAATCATCGATAAATACAGCGATAGCAGGAGACTCGACATCAGCGAGGCACTACACATCAAAAAGTCAATTACCAGCAATCAATAGCCAACTAATGGCCAACTATATTCTACCCACTTCAAGACTCGGAACCAATATGGAAGCAGCCAAAGGAAGTATGGGCCAATAGGCCTTCTGCAGTTACTTCCATTCTTATGTTCTCATGCCATTGTTTCGTGTTCTGTCTTATGTTTCACCTCACCCAAAACTGTCGTGCCATATCACCTCAACCAAAAACGAGTATAAGTATGAATGTATTTTGTGTGTAAATTAAGTAATTGAAAATGTAATAAGGAATTACGAAACGCGTTAAGGCGTCAGACTAGGAATATAAAGAATGAATTCTGGAGAGTTACTTTATCACTTACCCTCGACAGTCAAGAAGAACGTAAGAAATGTTGAGAAGATTCGTGTTAGAATTATTAATCTTACCTTTTCGGTCATATTCAACAACATATGTTTACAAGATAGACTGCTACCAAAATATACTAATATGTATATGTGTGTGTGTATGTGAATATGTATACGTACACACATATATAAATCAATAAATAATAATAATAAAAAATAATTAGCCTTAAACAGAACAACATGTGTGGCAACATCGGAGTGTGTATATATGAATGCTACACAGTATTCATCTATAGACATCCATATATGGTGAAACACATGTGAAGAACCTCTCACACACTCACAGCTCCCTGACAAGAGGGAGCCAGCTTAGCTTAGCTGCCAACACCCACACATCGTGTCAGCAAGGCGGACAGCCCGCCGCCTGCTTTCATACCTCTCACTGTATTACTTCACCCCCCCCACCCCCCCACAAAAAAAACGGACTGAAACGTCGTCGTTTCTCTAATTTTGTGAGATGTGTGAGTTTTGAGACAATCACCTGAATATATCCTGACTCCGATTCCAGTACTACAAAAGATTTTCTCGCAGATACGTCACGCTACTGTGATTCCATTGTGTAATTATATATCAATGGACAAATCCACAAGGGCCTTGACGAGGATTCGAACCTGCGTTCGGGAGCATCCCAGACACTGCCTTAGTCGACTAAGGCAGTGTCTGAAATGCTCCCGGACGCAGGTTCGAATCCTCGTCACGACCCTTGTGGATTTGTTCATTTGATGCATCACGTTAGTGTGATCTCTGTGTATATATATCAATGGTTTCCTTATATTTAAGTAAGGGTAGAGTTGTCGTCATCAGTGTGGGGGCAGCGGGCGGCAGTAACGACATCCGGATGTTGTACCGGCATTCGGAACTATGTTATGAATTAATAATCATATTGAAGTGTCCAATGAGTCGCTCTGCACACCTGTTTACAAGAACACTCTGCGTGTTTGGCTTTGTTAGTTTTCAGTCTTGCTGCATTTATGTGGCTGTAAACTTGTGTGTGTACGGTGGGTGGGGGGGTGCGTGTGCATAGTTTTATCTGGTTAGTTTATGAGGCGTTGTGGCGCGTGTTAACATACGCTGTGTTACTGTTGTGTTAACCTAGCTTGTTAATTAACCTTTCATGACTGGGAATGGCGCGTGACTGTCATGACTGTGAATGGCGCGTGACTGTCATGACTGGGAATGGTGCGTGACTGTCATGACTGGGAATAGGCTAGGTGGGGGGAATAGTAGTTTGCGACTAATTAAGGGGTCGTGTAGCACAGTCGAATCATAAGCCAAAGCTCCCAAGTTCGATATCCCGCGGCAGGATAAAGACGCTTGAGCAACATTTCCTTTCAACTGATGCCTCAGTTCACCTACAAGTAAATAGGTAGCCGGAAGTAATCAATTTATTATAGCTATTAGGCCTATCAAGGTCTCCTTAGCTCCTAGGGAGACCTTGATAGGCCTAATAAGCTGCCTAACTGTCCCCGACCTCGCTAAGCCTTATATAACAAGTCAAAGGGCTAAATACCACTCGGCACAAACGAGGCTGTTGATGGGAGACGTATGGTTACATAAGCAAGGTGAGGGGGGGGGATTTAAAGCTAAAGTATTCGAGCTTTTATGCTGTTGTATTATACAAGACCTGCAGTATGTTGTTGTATTATACAAGACCTGCAGTATGCTGTTGTATTATACAAGACCTGCAGTATGTTGTTGTATTATACAAGACCTGCAGTATGTTGTTGTATTATACAAGACCTGCAGTATGCTGTTGTAGGACCTGCAGTATGCGTTGTATTACAAGACCTGCAGTATGTTGTTGTATTATAGAAGACTCGTATGGGTTGAAGGCACTGGGGCCAGATTCACGAAGCAGTTACGCAAGCACTTACGAACCTGTACATCTTTCCTCAATCTTTGACGGCTTTGGTTACATTTATTAGACAGTTTACAAGTATGAAAACTTGCCAATCAACTGTTGTTATTGTTATAAACAGCCTCCTGGTGCTTCGGAGCTCATTAACTGTTTAATAATTGTAACCAAAGCCGCCAAAGATTGAGAAAAGATGTTCAGGTTCTTAAGTGTTTGCGTAACTGCTTCGTGAATTTGACCCCAGGCGCGTGGATAGTCTTTTCCTGGGGCCAGGACTCTCGCTGCTTAGTATCTCTTAACATACCTCTTAAGACAGGTCTTAAGCAGACCTGTCTGCTTAAGAGGTATCTCTTACGCTGCTGGTGGCGGCTTGGTCTGTATTTACTAAACAGTTTACGAGCTCCAGAGTGCTACGAGGTGGTCCTGAACCCAAGGTTATTATTGTTATGGGCGACCTCGCAGTGCTTCCGACCTCGTAAACTGTTTAATAAAGACCGGCCAGGCGGCCATTATCGTGGTACGAGCTGCACATATCGTAGGTGGACTTGTGAATGCTTTGTCACGTGAGTGGGCGTGGGGACACGTGAGTGGGCGTGGGGACACGTGGGTGGGCGTGGGGACACGTGGGTGGGCGTGGGGACACGTGGGTGGGCGTGGGGACACGTGGGTGGGCGTGGGGACACGTGAGTGGGCGTGGGGACACGTGGGTGGGCGTGGGGACACGTGGGTGGGCGTGGGGACACGTGGGTGGGCGTGGGGACGTGGGTGGGCGTGGGGACACGTGGGGGCGTGGGGACACGTGAGTGGGCGTGGGGGACACGTGGGTGGGCGTGGGGACACGTGGATGGGCGTGGGGACACGTGGGTGGGCGTGGGGACACGTGGGTGGGCGTGGGGACACGTGGATGGGCGTGGGGACACGTGAGTGGGCGTGGGGACACGTGGTGGGCGTGGGCACGTGGGGGGCGTGGGGGACACGTGGGGGCGTGGGGACACGTGGGTGGGCGTGGGGACACGTGGGTGGGCGTGGGTGGGCGTGGGGGACACGTGGGTGGGCGTGGGGACACGTGGGTCATTAGGTGGGCGGGCTGTTGAGTCATTAGAGGTGGGCTGTCCTGGTCACGTGTGCTCACTGGTGGGTGACACGACGATGAATAACAAGCCAGAACTCGTTTAAAAGCACTCAGCAACGCCCAGGAATGTTACGGGCTCGCCATAGCCCGTGCTACATGGACACTTCGTTCTGACTAGCTAAATCTGAAACAACAAGAAGAAGCCCAGGAATGTAGTGTACAGTGTAAGCTGCACTAGTGGATTACCTCGGGCCTAAAGAACCTTTAATAGGAAAAAGGCTGTATAGTATTGTATACGACTTACGAAGGTCTGTCTAGAACAACAGTCGGCCAAAGTCAGTAACGATGTGTTCAACTCGTCCTCTAGAATAGTACGTCGCATTTTGACGTATAAATCCAGTAAGGTCAAAATATGACGGGAAAAGAAATACAGCGGCTCGGAAAAATTGACGTGATATCCCATTTTCTATTCTTGGTTCGTCGATTAGGTTAGGTTCGGGTAATTTGGTACATCATTTTAGTGTCGTTGTGAACGCTCGAGAGAACGAGTTGGATTTGTTTAAACTATTCGCAAATATATACCTTCTCAAGGGGGGTAGAAATAGCCTAAGCTAAGAGATGTATTTCTTTCTTATCTCAATAAACATACTTGAACTATACCTTCTAAATCTAAATCTTGATATACTGTATATAATTATAATGATTACATGTTGTGCCCTTGTTTCTTGTTGTTTTACTTTCCTGTTAGTAATGTACTGTAGTCTTGTGTAAATTGACAATGTTGTCATTTATGAATAGTTTTTTAACTGAATTATAAGAACTATGAAGTGCGTATATCAAGAGAGAGATAAAATATGTTTTTTTAAATATATCAAATAAAGGTTAGGGAAGGGAATTATCAGTAGAAAGCATCAAGGCATTACTACTATATAGCACTTGGAAAGGATCAGGATAAGAATATGGAATGTGACCGAGGGGGGGAGGGGGGAATGGTGCCCAACCACTTGGACGGTCGGGGATTGAACGCCGACCTGCATGAAGCGAGACCGTCGCTCTACCGTTGATGTCTCAGATTCAGCTTCTCTGGACAACATTTACATGTGGCACGGGCTATAGTGAGCCCGTAAGTGGCTCTACCGTCCACCCCAAGTTGTTGGGGAGACGAATAGGGAGAACATCGAGCCAGAGATAAGAGACAGGTCAGGTAACTGATAAAATAATGGTTATAATAGGAGGAAAATAACTATAATAGTAATGGAAAATAGGAGGTCAGATAACTGATAAAATAATGGTTATAATAGGAGGAAAATAACTGTAATAGTAATGGAAAATAGGAGGTCAGATAACTGATAAAATATCACCCATTTCTTGTCATTGATATTTTAAATAAGTACTTTTTTGTATTTACTAGAAAAGAATGATATTATGCCTACAACTGAACAAATTTATGAAGACGGTGAAAAGGACACCTTGACTATTTTAGTGATTACCAGGACAAGTTATTAAACAAATAAAGTAACCATGGACAGACGAAGTAATTGCCAGGGTTCTTAAGGAATGTAAAGAAGTGCTTAGTAAGAACTTATCTATCATATTTGATAAATCAATTGAGTTGGGCAGTTTAAGTCATGGAGGGTTGCAAATGTGGTGCCGATTTCTAAGAACGAAAATAGGTCGCTTGCGTGGAACTGTAGTCTAGTTAGCTTAACGTTAACTTTATGACAATTACGTGAATCTATAATTGCAAAAAGTCATTTGTTTATATCAGGAAAAACAGATTACATCTAACCTACGCCTAACTGTATATAGGATTTTAATGTATAATAATATTAATACATAAATGAAACAAACCTATTCTTAATATATGTTAAAATTTATCAATGTTTCTTGGGGAAGGGGAGGAGGGGCAGCCGCAGCTTTAACGAGCCTGACGTGAGGACGGGTTTTTACCAATGATATAAACAGAACATTCAACAGCAAAATTTGCAAATTTGAAAACGATATCAAAATAGCGTGGGAAATAAATTCTAAAAACTCAAAATAACTTTAAGGTGATCTTCATAGGCTTTTAAGATGAACGGAAGATAAACAAATGCAGTTTAATGCTGAAAAGATTGGATTCTAAGCCTAAGTAATGATAATAGAGACTATATATCAGCCGAATAATGTTGAAATTGCTAAAACAATTTACGTCATGATCAGTAGGGATCATAAGACACAAAACAATACATAACAAAGAGAATCAATCAAACAGGATACTAGGAGATATTTCTAGAAGTGTTCGTCAAGTAATGTTAGTCATGTGCCTTACCCTACCCCTGTTACACCTGGTGTGGCTTCACCAGTGTTGGTCTGTGTACTACACCACCGACACACACTCCCTTCAATGTGTACAGAAAAGGATGACGAACTGGATATCATATATATCAAATATCCCAAGGAATTAGAAGCTTTTCTATGATGGGAGATTAAAAAAAGCTTAATTTACATTCTCTAGTCCAGACACACGAAGAGTAAAGGTGTACCAAAAGGGGGGGGGGGGAAGATGTAAATAACGTTTTAAATATATTAACACAAAATAGAACACGGAACAAAATGGATATAAGCTGGATAAGTTTAGATTCAGGAAAGCCCAGGGTAAATACGGGTTAGGAAGAGGGTTATTCATTTAGAGAACAAATTACCAGGTAATATGATAAGACGTGGGTTAGCTGGATTGTTTCAGGCGCAGGTTAGACATTTTTATGTATAATTTTGAGAGGACTTAAATAGGAGCTGTCTCATCTGAGCCAGTAGATCTCCTGCAGCTTCCTTTATTGTGATGCTCCTAAACATACTAAAGTGCTGGAACATTGAGCTATAAGACAGGCCAATACAGCTGTTCCCAGCTCCTACCAGCGACACCTGGGCAAGCGTTCACGCCAGCACACGCGCGCGCACGCACACACAATATATATTTTCGTCGTACATATAATTCAGAGTTGATCATTAAGCCATAACGCTGATAGGAACGCTACTTACATACTCACATGTTTAACAAGCGTTATTGTGCTGGGTAATTGACGACCGCCCCTGCACCTGCAGTAACGTTAATTATGCATAAGAATGAAACCTGCAGCGCTCAGGAACGCTGCCTCTGTAATTAGCAAACGAACCTGATTAGAGTCGAGTATTATCATAATATATGCCTGGACAATGACTCTGGCGAAAGTTACCGTTTTAGTTCCCGATTCCAGACGCTGCAAACTATCTTTCTTAACGGTCTGATGTATTCCAGACACTGCAAACTATCTTTCTTAACGGTCTGATGTATTCCAGACACTGCAACTATCTTTCTTAACGGAGTGATGTATTTCAGATACTGCAAACTATCTTTCTTAACGGTCTGATGTATTCCAGACACTGCAACTATCTTAACGAACCGATAGAATTTAATTAATAGACACACGATCATGTTTTTGTTTGAAATACATTTGTTGTATTTTAAAATGATGTTCTTTCTCAAGCATATATGGAACACGAATGAAGACGTTATTGCAGTGCCACGGAGAACAGCGGAATGTTTATAAAGGAAATTATAAACATTTTTATAATTCCACTGAAGACCCATGTTTTTGGCCACACAATATGGAGCTAAACGGTGATAACTTTGACCTCTGTTATGGGGTAAATGCAGAAATTCAAACTAGAACAGGATACAAAACCTAATTAAGCCATAGTGCAAGGAAAGGAAAACTGAAGAATGTGTCGAGATCATTCATTGCCACATTCATTCTTACATTCCAACAAACACCGCCTAAGTACCTGTACCTGTAGTTTACCTGTGGTTTGGTTCAGAGTGTTCTATACTACTCTGGAAGCCAGGCTTGTCTCTGGATCAATGCATCTAGAATGTTGTTGCTTGGAGTGGCCCTCAGACACAAGTATCCACCACAACCCGGCTGGTGTGTCTTTCTGGAGGAGTTGACCAGACCACACACTAGAAGGTGAAGGGACGACGACGTTTCGGTCCCTTCACCTTCTAGTGTGTGGTCTGGTCAACATACTTTAGCCACGTTATTGTGACTCATCACCCGCTTTCTGGAGGAACTTGGGGCCAGATTCACGTAGTTCCGCAAGTACTTACGAACCTGTACATCTTTCCTCAATATTTGAAGGCTTTGGTTACATTTATTAAACAGTTTACAGGCATGAAAACTTGCTAATCAACTGTTGTTATTGTTACAAACAGCCTCCTGGTGCTTCGGAGCTCATTAACTGCGTATTAATTGAAAACAAAGCCGCCAAAGATTGAGAAAAGATGTACAGGTTCGTAAGTGCTCGCGTAAATGCTTCGTGAATCTGGCCCTTGTTCAGTTGTCTCTTGACCCCACGCACGTCTGTGCCGGCGATATTTCTTATACAAGCTGTGAGGATATTGAGTAACCGTGGCCCCCTGGTGGTCATGCAGTGTCCGCTGACTGTGCATGTGACTGTCGTACTTGTTATTGTTATGCAAGTGACTGTCCGCTGACTGACTGTGCTTGGAGCGGCCTGCAGGCTGCTCCAAGCAACAGTCTAGTGGACCAAACTCTCACAAGTCAAGCCTGGCTTCGGGCCGGGCTTGGCTTGGGGAGTAGAAGAACTCACAGAACCTCATCAACCAGGTATCAACCACGTATGTGGCGCATCTGCTCTTCTCTTTAGAGCAGGTGCGCCAGAATTTAGGCGCACCTGCAGGTTCTATAGGAAGGCTCTATAGAATAGAACCATAACACCTGCTCTCGTTCTATTCTATAATTCTTATATCATTCGCTTTATTGTGTCATTTTTACCTAGTAAATTTAGCTCCTCGTGACTCCTCAACCCGTCCTCATAAACAATGACCAAAGACCATTCCATCCACCCGCCAAACCCCAGCTGTTTATAAATACAAAAAAAAAAAGTTTACACACGACTTACAACTGATGACGTCCGAACACTTCTCGAATAAGTGCTTCGTTGACGACTTTTGTTCGAACGTCCACGCTGTAAAATATGCTTCATTC